AGCTGCCCTAAAAAGTAGAGTAACATCTCACTCACTGCAGGATATCCAATCCAGACCTCGATACAGACTTCCATAGTTTTTCGAGGCAAACAAAATCCCATTTCCAACAGGTAATAACCTCAAATTTTTTTATGGAAACTCGAGGCACATTTTCTTCAATTACTATTAAAGCTTTATCTGATTTCTTCGAATTTATTTAATTATTATCATAAACACATTATTGTTCAATTTTTCTATTAAAATAAATTTCAATAGCTAGTTTTTTTTTTTATCAAGTAAATTTGCTATTTGAGACTAATTAAGTTACATTATAGTTTCATTTTCTAGTTCTGTTTATTCATAAGTGCTACACTATAGCTATGGTTCAATTACAAATACAGTGTGTTATAACAATTTTTCTCTTATGGTTTTTTACTCACGATTACAGTGTACTCAATAATACACGTTCAATCGTAACCGAGATAGGCTGTTGCTACCAGAGCCTACGCCTTTTATTTGGACGGTTATACAAGTTTTCCGGACCGTAAATTTAAACCGTAAGATTGGTTTGACCATCTAACCACAACCAGTAGCCAGGACTAATCTGGTTAATTGTATCTACTACTACCACCTGGAACATTTTGGTATCGTACTAGCTTTAATTAACCTATCTATATTTTATTGTTAATTACATTCTGTCCCTATTTTGTACGTCACAGTGATCACTACGATATTTCAGGGAGCTAATTTTTTTTTCCTTTCTAAACTTTTTAATCAGCGAAAAAGCGTGGCATTCTGCTTCGGACCAGGTTTGGTTTTGTCTGAGTGAATCAGGTTTTATTGAAAAAAGTTTCAGCTATTATTTAGTGTCATAGTGACACACCAATATGGCGGCTATCGTCAAAAGCAAGGCCGATAAGCAATCCTGTAGGTGTGTATCATCTTTGATAATGAAAATCTATTTAACAATGGTGTTGTTCTCTTTATATTCTTCAGTAACCCTTCTACAATAGGCTTGTTCAGTGAAATTTCATTAACTGCGTTTTTCACATTTTTATGGAGTATTACTCACATAGCACATAAAAAAAGCCAGCTTAAGTGGATAAATATTAAAGAAGTTACGCGTCTTTAAATCTTAAAACATTTATGCGTCGGAAATTCACCTCTGTGACGTAATAACCATCTTGAGACAGGCTAAAGGCCGTCACTCACGATTTTGCATAGCGCAATCTGAACAAATTTTCTGCTGACAGTTTGGCACACAGTTTGCGGAACTATACAATATTTATAATTTTAATTCACTTCTATAATTCTTCTTCCAATGCGTATCCGCTAATGGATATTTGCGATAACATTTTCCATTGCTTCTCTATTCCTTGTGGTGTGTATTAACGACTGCACATCATGTATATAGCCCTGTCCACTATCTGATATTAATCGGCAATGCCATAAGACGTTGAAAAAATTGACAGATGTCAACTGTCGAATGTGACAGATGGAAAGGTGGGCAGGTATCAAAACTACCCCCGTCTTTGAAAATTTGCTTTTTTCTACAAATAAACAAAATGTACTTATTTTTTTACCGTAGTAGCACACGCCAAGTATCCGCTGGTATTCAAATAAATTATCAAAACACTCCAAATTTGAAACACGCAGTAACGTCACTGCATTTCTCATCTTGGTCATGGTGGTGGTGGTAGGTACGCCGGTCACTACGACAAGTTGTTTGGCATTGTGTTTCTTTCGAATGATATTAGATATATTTGATTATTTCATTCATTATAAAATAGACCCATCAGACAACGTCATTTTTTGAATGAATTTTGTTTAAATAAGTGATTATTTCACAAGACCTTGTTTATTAGCGATTAAATTTTTGTTTACCTTTTTTGACAGAATTTTGATAGAAAAATTCTCACATTTTATAATAAATAGAACTCTTTGGATAGGATTGACGCCAACAATTCAATCCTAATTATTCAGGAAATAATCTAGCCGTATACCACTCGACCGATAAATTTAAATGGATTAAACTATCCAAATATTTTTTGCATAATTTTGCTTTTCGGCAAATAGTTTCATGCAAAATAACTTTTAAATAAAGTTAATTAAGTTATTGTGCATTCAACTATTTTCCAAGCAAAATCATGCTCAAAATATGTTGGATAATTTAATCGATTAAATTTAAAGGTCTTGTGATATAATATATGATTAATTCCCTGACTTTCAATATTTTATGAGCACAATTATAGAAGACTGAAATCTGTTTCGGACTTGGTTCGTTCCATACTCGAACCACATTGCTTTATTGAAACTCAGAGCCAAGCCAAGTGATCTTAATATAATACAATGCAGGTATACGCACCAACTGCGGACTCGTCGGACCATGATGTGGAGAAGTTTTATGATGAAATCAAGAAATTGCTAAAATTGACTAAGAAACATGACGTCAACTTAATTATGGGTGACTCCAATGCCAAAATAGGAAAGGGTAAATTTGAGGAGTTAGTTAGATCGTATGGTCTTGGAGAAAGGAACGAGAAGGGTGATCGACTCTTACAATTCTGCCAGGAGGAAAGCATGAATTCAAACTTCACCCTCGCCGACTCTATACCTGGAAGTCCCTAGCTGACCGTCCACACAATGTAGAAACCAAATAGATTTCATCCTGATGAAGATTCAGCTCAACTATCAGCATATTCTGGGGCAGATGTGCCTTTTGACCATGTACTATTGGTGGCCGTCTTGAAAATCTCTCTGTCAAGTCAAAGAAAGCCAACCATACACAGCGACGGGTGGTGTTACAGAAATTGATGGACCCAGTAATAAAATCTGAAATGTGTTATGAGTTAAACACATAAATACAAACAATAAAATCGAATATTGGAGAAGAGCCAACACAAGCCTGGGCGAAGACATTGCAACAAACTCCATGCAAAACAGTTAAGGATATAAGGCAAAGAACAAAAAACAAATATGCATAACGGATGAGATTTTGTTGTTAATGGATGAACGTCAAAAGCACAAGAACAAAACACCAACATGAATAAGGATATTCAAAGACTCATTAGATCAAAAATTAGAATAGCAAAGAACGAATGGCTTCAACGTGAATGCTCAGAGATAGAGCTGCTGGAAAATCAACACGATATCTTTAACCTGCACAAAAAACTGAAAGAGACTGCCGGCATATATAAAAAAATGAGACCAACTATAACAGTAGATAATAACTGAGATTAGATAGCCCTCGACAGCAAAGATTAGAACAATGTTTGGGAAAGGTATATTGAAGAACTTTTTGACAACGATAGACCCGCAGTTGGTTTTAATAACTCTCTAACCGGCCCATCAATCACTAAGGACGAGATTGAAAGTGTCATATGTAATTCAAAAAATAACAAAGCGGCTGGCTCAGATGAAATCCCTTCAGAAATACTTGAATTCCTAGATGAAAGAGGCATCACAACACTACATAAATTATTTAACTCTACTTATGAGACAGGTCACTATCCCGAACAGTAGTTGTGCTCTACTTTTATACTTCTGCCTGAGAAGATCAATGCAAGAAAATGTGAAGATCATAGACCTATTGGCCTGATAAGCTATACTTTAAAAATATTTTTTAATCACCACCATCATACACCAGAGAATTTACAAGAAATGTGATAGAGACATAAGCGACTCGCAATTTGGGTCCAGACAGGGGTTAGGTACACGAGAAGCGATAGTCGCAACACAAGTGTTTGTCCAAAACTGCTACGATCAGATAAAGGATGTGTGACTATGTTTCATAGATTACGAAAAGCCATTCGATCTCGTACAACACCACAAATTGATGCAGCTCCGCAATAAGCTTGATATACCTAGACCAGAAAGACATTAGATGCATTAAAAAAATATACTGGAACCAAACAGCGCAAATCAAATTATTCAATAATATGTCCAACACCTTGGAGATTGAAAGAGGGGCGCAACAGGGATGTGTGCTGTCTCCGCTCCTGTTCAACTTATATTCGGAAGCGATTTTCCAGGAGGCTTTGGAAGACGTGGAAATGGAAGTCAAAGTTAATGGAGTGTGGATCAACAATATCCGCTATGCTAACGATACGGTCTTAATTGCTGATAACATACACGACCTACAACAACTAGTCAACAAGGTAGGAGAACAGAGCAAATCAATGGGCTTAAATATCAACACCAAATAAAAAAAAGTTTATGATTATCTCTAGGAACCCAAATATGTTTAAAAACTCTACCATAACATTTAACGCAAGGCCCATAGAGGGAGTAGATAAATTTAAGTACTTGGGCGTCTGGCTTTTTGAAGACTGGACATCCAGTTGACACCTGTCATTAGTAGTCTAAAATGTATTATCACTCGAACTTAAAGTGTATGCAAAATTTCAGCAAAATCCGTTGCGAAGAAATCATTGAGGAAAAATGATTCAAAAATCTACACCTGTCACAATTTGATAGTTGACACCTGTCATTAGTGGTCTAAAACCTTCTTCCCATTATTGCCTTTCATAGTAAACTAGTTTGGGGCACATGATTTGAAAGTCTATAACGGACATAGGTAAAGTCCGTCGATTTTAAATTGATACTCGGACGGAATGTGAGCTGGTGGCTTCAAGGGTTACCTTGAAGCCATATGAAACACCCCCTCGCTCCTCATACGGAAAGTGTCAGTTAAAAATCGACGAACAATAGACACACAGACAGAAACATTTTTTGTTTATTATATACATACCTATATAGATGAAAAAGCTCTCGGAATATCATGAAATTTTGCACAACTGCCAAGCTTAATACGCTCTTTCAGAATATGTAATAAAAAAAAATATGTTGAATGAGCCTATTTGATTATTGACAGACCTAGATGACAGCGGTGAAAAGGCCTAGGGAAGAATCTATAAGCTAGGTACTGAATCTAAATTTAATTCCACCTTCAAGATTTTCTCTGTATTCCAAAAGTACAGGTAAAATGTAACACCTTTCAATGCTATTTGATAGGGAAAGGTGATAAATTTACCTGTACCTATAAACCTCCTTATCTGTTAAAATTCAGCGCCAGGTAGAAACATGAGGTGCTAAAAATGTCAAACTATTGCCATTTTATATTTCAAAAAAAAAAGATATATTGTCGTGGATTATGACTATGGCCAGGGGTAACCAGCGTGAATTAGCAAGAGAAAAGAACTTGAAGAAGCAAAATGCTCCAAAGAAAAAAGGTATGTGAACTCAATATTGAAAGGAATATATTTCCACGTATTACGTTAAGATTTATAGTAGGGCTTCCTAAAAATAACAGAGTTAGAGCCGACGCTACATCAGTAATACGCCGGATAAAGTCTTGATCTAAAAATATACATAGTACAGTAAATTTTAGATGACATGCCACTAGAAAAGAGAAAAGCGCGAGACACTGCGGCCCTTCAGCAGAAACAAAAGGCTCCCATCAACTCCCACGAGACGAAAGTAGAAAAAAGTTCACGGAAAAAAGCGAAGTGAAAATTCCGCTACAAAAAAATTTAATGTGAATTCAATATTCCGGAAACAATTATGTAAATTATTTATCTATGAAGGTTAACATCATTATAAAACATATTATTGGTTTCTAGTCAATATTATAATATCTATGTGTATTGTGCAAAATATTTGTTTGCGCTTTGGGCATAAATCAATAATCAATTACCTACTCCATTTCTGTTCGCTTACCTTTTTTTATTGAAGCTTGGGCACTATAATATACCGGGTCTACCGAAAACCCAACTTCCATGCTATCGACGCTTTGATTGTAAAAAGAACTTTCGCAACTTTGCCATATTTCTTGACTAAAAATAAATAAATGGAAATATTATTATTGCTGTGTTTATTTTAAAAATACACTGATTACATGCAATTAAGCGTATAATAACTAAAAAAGTTTTTGATTTACGCAGTCAATCTGTGTATTGAAATATGAGTATCTTGCTTAGGTTTTGACACAGAGGGCCTGAGAGAAGGATGTAGAATCCACCTAAATTCAAAAAGATGATGGATTGTGAAATAAGGACAGTGAGCAGTGAGCCCTAGTAGAGGTTTTATTTCTGAATCTTCATAGAAAATTTTAAAAACCTTTTTTCTAAGAACCAATGCATTAAATTTTATCAAAGAGAAGTTTCAAAGTTTTTTGTGTGGGTGTCTTGCATTGATCCTAAACCATCCTTTAACATTTCATTCGGGATTCTATTCTCTTTTAAATAAAGCCGCTTATCATTATTGCAAAAACGTGTTCTTGTATTGCATAGAAAAGTTTGAAGGAAGTGCTACAAAAGTAAGTGCGAAAATTTTTCTCTTCAAATTTCCTTTACCTTTCATTGCTTTCCCTTTGATAGTTAATTCTCCTCCTTCAAACAGAAATATTTTTAGTTTTCAAAAGAGAACTTTGAACGTAAAACTAATATTAACAGAAATTAACTATAAGTGATGTTCGAAACTTTGGAAATTGGTTTCCATGAAATTAGACCCTTGTTTACCCAAATCCCTTAAGGCAACACATTACCATAGGTTTTTGAAAAGTTATCGGGATTTAGACCCATTAGAAAGTTTTACACTAAAAAATTTACAGAGCGATAAGGGTCATGAGTTTTTAAATGGCCAATGAAATGATTTTTTTTTCTAATAAAAACAATAAATTCAATAAAATCATATTCCATGAAACAGTTTAATCTCAAATAATCCCATTGTCAGTAATAGTGGTATAATTTTCCGAGAAATCACACCAAAGCATGAGATATATGGCAAAACATTTACCGAAAATAATATGAGCTATCAATTTTCATCCTTACCCCAATATATCTGGTTTGCTCCTGGGCCTACTGTTATAAAACAAGGGATCCGAATCGATGCTATTTTCCGGATACTGACGAGAATTCTCTCCTGGAATATTACCGCCGAACGAGTTATAGTCGTCAATGTTGTTTGGCGAATACCTCTGTAACAAAAAAAAAATGGGTTATAACATGAACTGTGCGAAATCAGAAAGAAAGGATGGGTTTCGGTAAATAGAGATTTTTTTGTTGCCTTGGAAAAAATTCCAAGCCCAGATGCGACAAGAATTCTTTTTAGGCGCCAATTACTTTTAAGTGGCAGGCCATTTTGTTTTTAGTCTAATGCTTATGTATTTTAAGCCTGGAGATTTCAATTTTTTTTTAATTAATAATAGATTACTTCTTAGGTGAATATCGTGAAACCAGAAATCCGGTCATTTAAATACGAGATTGTCCTTACCCTAGGAAAACCCACTGTTATCGATGTGGTATCCCTAACGTCACAGTTAGGAATTGTCCTAAATGTGGTAACTCGGGAAACGGTCTCAAGGGAAATCATTAGGTCGCGAGATTTCTTTCCTAAACACCCCAGCGACCAATAACCTTGATGATTTTGGTAATAGACTATTTCTTGACTACATTATATCACATGCGCAAAGTGATCAGCGTCCCTACCTTGAAATTAAAATATTGGGATATCCTATGTTAGGTCTACTTGACTCAGGTGCTAGTCGTACTCTGGTTGGGTTGCCTGGATTGACTCTTTTGAACTTAGGTTTGAAGTTGGTAAGACAACAAAATTCTTGGCCAAACTTGCACAAGCACAGGTTACATTCAGACACCCATAACCTTGATGGACGAAACTCACATTATTGATGTCATCGTACTTCCTGAACTTTTACATAAAATTATTCTTGGAATAGACTTCTGGAAAACCCTGAAAATTATCCCAGATCGTAGACAAAATGTTTGGCATTTTTCTGAGTCTGGTGGTGAGACTGATATTTTGTCTATCCAAAATAGAGACAATTTGACTCCGTTAGAACGATCAACGATCTACTTTAGACACCCTTGTAGAGCAGAAAATTGCAGAGATGGGTAATGGACTCGGTTGCTGCAAGGTAGCTGAACATGAAATCATTATAGATTTTGGTACAAGACCCATAAAACAAAGGTATTACCTTATCTCGCCCTTCGAACAAAAGTTTATAGATGAATTAGTTGAGGAAATGTTGAAGTTTGGAGTCATTGAGCGTTCTAGTACTCCTTGGTCTAGTCCTGTGTACCTTGCTCGGAAAAAGGATGCATCCTTTCAGATTTTGCATCGATCATAGGCAGGTCAATAAATATACAAAAAAAGACGCACGATATTTCAACCATTTTAGATCGGTCAAGAGAGACTCGATATATCAGTTCCATCTATATTAAGTCAGCATTTTGGCAGGCCTCTTTGAGTACATCTTCCAAAGAGTACACTGCATTTACTGTCCCTGGCAGAGGACTCTCCCAATTCTGTCGAATGCCATTTGGCTTATCTAATGCTCCTGCAAGCTGGCAAAGAATCATTGACACTATCATTTGTCCAGAACTCGAACGAAATGTCATGTACTATATTGATGACCTGGTGATAATTTTTTAACTCTCTTTCAAAACATTTGCGACTTTTTAAGATTGCATTCGACCGCTTGCGTCAGGCCGGACTAATTAATTCGTTGAAGAAATGTCACTTCTGCAAGCCAGAATTAAAATACCTGGGCTATCTGGTTGATAAGAAAGGCCCTGATCTAGAAAAGGTTGAGGCTATAGTCAACATTCCACCACCACCAAACATCAATGAAGCTCGCAGATTTGTGGAAACTGCTTCCTGGTATCGGCGTTTTGTCCTAGAATTTTCTTCAGTGCTAGCAGCCATTTTTAATTTAAGAGTTAAATTTTGTCTTCGCCTTTATGGGATTTTGACTTTAATATTCTCAATTATTGAATTTATAGCACATTGAGTTGCATTACGTTACGTTACGTTTTCGTAAAGTGCTATAAATTTCGCCGATTAATTCGGATTTTTACAACCATCCATGTGGTAAGTTTTGTTCTGCACATTTTTTTTTCTTACAGTGGATTCTGACCTTTTCTATCTAATCATTAGTGAAAAGCTGCCCTAAGGAGTGGAGTAAAAACCATCTGTAAAAACAGACCCCCGATGCCTCTAATTATGGACTGGGAGCTGATTTAACTCAACAACACGAGGAGGGTGAAAAGGTCGTTTGCTATCTGTCAAGGTCTTTAACCAAGCAAGAGATGAAACTGACTGTCACAGAGAAGAAATGTCTTGCTGTCATTTGGGCTGTTGAGAAGTTGCGTCACTATTTAGATCACATCCAGTTTATCGTTATCACTGATCACGCATCCTTGTTACACAAGGTCGTCTTGCACCTTGGCAATTACGTCTTCAACAGTTCGATTTTGAAGACCTTGACAGATAGCAAACGACCTTTCCACCCTCCTAGTGTTGTTGAGTTAAAATAGCTCCCAGCCCATAATTAGGGGGGCATCGGTTTGTAAATAAAACATCCTGTCAAAATCAGATACAGCTTTAATAGTAAAAAAAATGTGCCTCGAGTTATCAAAGAAAATTTGAGGTTATTAGGTTATGCCTCACTTGTTGGAATGGGGTTTATTTGCCTCGAAAATACTCTGGATTAATATGGATCGAGGTCTGGATTCGAAATCCTGGAGTGAGTGAGATAGTCTTTACTCTAGTCTTTAAGGCAGCTTTTTACTAATGATTAAATAGAAAAGGTCAGAATCCACTGGGAAAAAAAAAGTGCAAAGCAAAACTTACCACATGGATGGTTGTAAAAATCCGAATTAATCGGCGAAATTTATAGCACTTTACGAAAACTTAACGGAACGTAAGGAAACTCAATGTGCCATAAATTCAATAATTGAGAATATTAAAGTCAAAATCCCACAAAGACGAAGACAAAATTTAACTCTTCAGAAAGACCTTATTTCTCCAACCACCAAATGTGGGAAGAAAAGAGTACCACATAAAATTAATTAGCTGTCCTAAAGGTAAGGAATAGTAAAGAAAATGTGCCTCGAGTTTGCAAAGAAAATTTAAGGTAATTAGGTTTTGTCTCACCTGTTGGAATAGGTTTTATTTGCCTCGAAAATACTCTGGATCAATATGAATAAAGGTCTGGATTCGAAATCCTGGAGTGAGTGAGATAGTCTTTATTCTAGTCCTTAGGGCAGCTTTTCACTAATGATTAAATAGAAAAGGTCAGAATCCACTGTGGGAAAAAAAAAAACGTGCAAAGTAAAACTTACCACATGGAGGGTTGTAAAAATCCGAATTAATCGGCGAAATTTATAGCACTTTACGAAAACGTAATGTAACGTAAGGCAACTCAATGTGCCATAAATTCAATAATTGCGAATATTAAAGTTAAAATCCCACAAAGGCACAGACAAAATTTAACTGTTAAAAAATACCTTATTTCTCCAACCACCAAATGTGAGAAGAAATGAGCACCACATAAAATTAATTAGCTGTCCTAAAGGTAAGGAATGGTAAAGAAAATGTGCTTCGAGTTTGCAAAGATAATTTAAGGTAATTAGGTTTTTTCTCACCTGTTGGAATGGGTTTTATTTGCCTCGAAAATACTCTAGATTAATATGGATCGAGGTCTGGATTCGAAATCCTGTAGTGAGTGAGATGGTCTCTACTCTACTCCTTAGGGCAGCTTTTCACTAATGATTAAATAGACAAGGTCAGAATCCACTGTGGGG